CTTCCTCACCTGCGCGCACGCTCAACATTAAAGCGCAAAAGTGAGGTATTGTCAAGCAAGGCGATAGGTTAATAAAGGTACATAGCTAGAAGTAGAATGAAAGATAAAGATCCCAAATAATGCAATGGGTGCAGAAAATTTATTTTGGTCGCTTTTGTGTCCCCAAATAGAAGCCACAAATGCAAATCCCCAATTATACAGGGGGTTTCTTCATTAGTCGCCTCTTACGATATATGCAGTGGGTTACAGCAGGTATATTCTTTTCTCGATCCCCGACCTGCATGGGTGTTCCTGATGGAAAATTCGTATTAAAAGATACATTAGTCTATATGCATAAAATACAGTATACAATATATGTGTGACCCTCTCTCATTATATACATAGTGACATTTGTTTTGCGCTTCAGATATTGGAATAAGAATAAACAAAGTCAAAATTATTGTCAAGCAAAAAAATTCTAAAAAAGTGCCCCTTTTATATATGGTGTAATGTTTTAGCCATCTAATTACGGATTGGGATCTGAAAACAGGTTGAATAAACTATCCAAAGTCAATTATATGTTTGGTAAAGCTTAGAGTTCTCCGGTTGGTGATTTCCTTAATTAGAACTCGCTAGTCTAGTGTTCACATTAAATCAAATGATATACCGAATTCAATCATTTATTCTGATCACTTGTCTGTTCTACAAAGCCTCCGCAACAGAATATCAAGGAATATCTGCATTACAAAAAGATTTACGCTATTACATAGCATTACCTCAAAACGTCACATTACATTATGCTGGGTTCCCAGCCATGTTAAAATACCAGGTAATAAAACGGCTTATCGCGCCGTCAAAACGTCTTTTATTGTTACAACCTGTTGATTTTAAAATTAATTTTACGGATTTCAAACTGTTGATAACAAATTGTGTAAGGTGAAAGTGGCAAACTAATTTGAATCAATGAGTAGAAAATAGATTACACTCTGTAAAACCGAAATCGGTGAATGATATCCCAGTTATGGAGAAACAGCCGGGACGAGATTTTCTCCGGATGAGTCATTCATACATAACCCTTTCGTATGCCTCAACGCATAATATGCCAGGAACCATTTACAGTAAAACGCTGTGTTTGTATGGCATTTATGATCTATTTGAATGATAGAACTTTGCAAGCAAACATTATGCGCGCTAGCGAAAAAAAATTCAAAACTTACGTTTGCGATTTTTACTTACAAGTTACATTTAAAATTTTAAATTCCCGCCTTATCGACAGTCCACAACAAAGTGTCCAATAGCTGCAAAACAAAGTAGTATTTTGAAAATTTAACAAACACTTGAATTTTATTCCACAATTTATTATCAATACAATTGTGTTTTATTTGTCTATAGGGTGGGTCAGTTATTTATAGAAATCTGAGGTGAAATTCAGATATAACATTGTTATAATTTTTACCCCAGATCAAATTTCGCGCATGCATAAATACAGTCAACACCGTAATCCAACCTTGCCCTCCACGTGGGAGTTAATTTTAGGAGTTGAATTGACAGTGATAAAAGTTCGAATTTATTTGTTGATTGCATGGAAACCTGGCTGCAATTGGTAATTACTACCACAGCCTCAGTGTTTTCTTTCGTGATGTTGAAACGGTCACTGTAATATGACCGGAATGAGGTTCGTTTTTGTCGTTAGACGTAACGGTAAACCTGATATGCCTTGTCTCAGAAGTTTGATTATTCAAATATTGTACGATTTTGGATGAACTTTCATTCGTGACTATTGGTTCAAAATCAGTGTCTTCCAAGTTGACAGGCTTTAAAGTTTCATCCCCGCTAGACGATAATTCATCACCAAAAAAGTCGGGCAAATCGAAGTAAAAATTCCGAAGATCGTTTGATTCTCTCATGGTTAGATCAGTGCAGTGAAACAGACGATATTTCTCATAAATTGTATGAGTGTTATAATTGTTTTCTTTGGTTATTCCAACCGATGTGAATTTTGTACGAAATTGCAGATCTTTGCCTTTTTTGTTGTTGTAATAAAAGGTTGTTTTTTTAATATTTTCTCTATTTTTTACACATTCAAAACGTACATGTACATTGTCAAGTCTCACGCTGCCCTGTAATATTTCAGCAACCGTCGTGATTGTTTACATTGGATCACAGGGGATTGTTACAAATGGCTTAAATACACATATGCTATACTGATATTGGTCACAACACACGTAAGTTTATGTGTGGTGTGACCCATATCAGTTTAGCATATAACCGTTATGTATTTTAGACATTTGTAACCAACCCCTGTGATTGGATATTGTAGTTGCAGTCTGTGTTGTATTATATGTAATACGCTACGAATTGTGTCTCATGGTGCATGGCAGTTACAGTCCCATCAACGACACAGCTTTCAAGTAGGTTATCCAGTGACAATGCCATGCAAATGTAAATTGCATTGACCTTCAGCAAACAAGAGTTTGCTTTAAAGTAATATAACAGATCTCGAATCTCTTTTCGAAACACTCAATATCTGTACAATTTTTACATTCATAAAAACTCTATTTCTGTTCAAAAATATGTAACAAACCATAGCCACTCTTAAATTTCTAGTTGAATCTTTTCTTTTCCTTTTTCGTTCGCTGGACGTCTTTTCCTTTAACATGTTTTGTTTACTTTTTATTGGCCCTAATGACCTCTTTTGCGATGATGGGCCGTTCAGAATCCCCAAAACAATCTAAATAACTAACTATTTATAGAGTCTTAGTGGTTACATGTAATTAAAGAAGATGAGCACGGTTGTAGTGGATTTTGAGTTTCATTGGGGTTCGCGTCTTTTCGACAGCCTAAATATTTAAGGACATGCTTCTTTGTTTGTAATGTATGCAGTATGTTGGTCGATAAGTCTCCTTGCGACAGCACCGATTCGATGCCGATGTTAGAGTGCTACTTCACTGAAATATAATGCTAACAGAGCACCCAGAACAGTATATGCTATTTACAACGGGTTAACCAAATGCCGCATGTATTGAGTAACTGCAGTTATACTCTTTCCTCCATCTCCGACCTGCAGGGGTGACATGACTACGGCAACAATGACCAATCTAGTAGTTGATGTTGCCGTTGTTAACTCTATTTTGAAAGTGGGACAGTTAATGAGAGTTTCCTTGACTTAGCCTTTACTCCTGTCTTACTATTTACTTGTTTTTGCATCTTTCTACAAGCAAACTTTCTTGATGTCAATTTGACCTGAAAAATTCTTACCTGAAATTGATCTTAATATCAGGCCAATTTCAAATGAAATTTCTTTCATGTCAATTTCATGTCCAGTTCAGGTTAAATTGACATGAAACAAACTTTCTAGTGAATTCGCATCAAATTTAGGTCTAATTGATGTAAACGATTTTGCCTTAAGGTAATAGGTTTGTGTCACCATTTCCAGTAGAATTTCGTTATATTGCTTTGAAGTACAGGAAATTTTCTGCCACAAGAAAAATATTGGTTGTAAGAATTTGAAGGATTTTAAATGGAAATGTATGTAAAAAGGGGTGAATTTTGAAAAGACACATTTATTTTTCAAAATAATGTCAATAAAAATGATACTGCCATAGATTAGTATTGCATTACTGTATATTAATTTAATCAATGCTGAAATTGTGTAAAATGTATTATCTATAAACGATTAAAAATTGACGTTTTATAATAAAACCATATACACATAGTAATTGCATACAAGAGTTATCTTTCTTGAAAAACTTTACAGTAATAAAATAGGTAGCCGGTTTCTGAAGTACAGAAAAATGGACACATGTGACTCATTGATAAAAAAACTGAATAAATGCCGGGATTGCTTTGAAGTACTTAAATATTGAGAGAATACACTGTTCTGTCAATAATAAACATATTATTAACGGACGACAACTTAGACTCATTAGAATATGCGGAAATTGTGATATTGTCTCCCTACATTGGATTTTCAACTAGGGATGTACTTCCTATTTCCGTTAAACAATACACGCATTCGACCTTCAATTGACATGTTTGACATCATGGAATTGTGCCTGTATACTAACAGATTGTGTATTAACATTATCAGGTAGATCTCTTGATATGCCGTTTAACTTTGCTACTTGATGTTGTTACTACTGATCGTTTGATTGGATGTACAATATAGTTGTTACTAGTGAAAGAGTTTTATTGAATCACGGTATTTCCTCGCACTTATTTCATTTGGTTTAAATTTTCTCCTAAATGCAACCATAAGTTGATGTGAACACATTAATACCAATTTTGAAATTGATTTCAATTTTTAAAAATAAGAATGACACAATTCAGATAATTTAACCGATTTTCTCATTCCTGATAGTACAATCTCCTATTAGAACGTCTTTAAATTTTCTGGTGACTGGAAAGTTACCAAATTAAACAAATAGCAAACAAATCTGTCAGGTAAAAGCATCCCTTTTTCTTTAAAGAATGAGTAATTATTTTACTTAAATGAAACTTTAAACACTTTAACAAATTCAGAATTTGAGCACAGTTATTTTCGATACAAAGTCCTATTATTTCTAAACACAGGTAAAATACCATTTACTTAATAGTATGATTAGAAATTACAACACAATTTAACATAGTTTCTGCAGTTAAACCCGAAAACATGTTCAAGTGTTATTGAATCAGTTTCTCACCTAGTCCTTTAGGTATGCTGGTTCTCGGACTGTCCTTGTCGGACGCGGCGATCGCGTGATTGATTCAGGTGTTGTTGTTACGAGAATGTACGATTGTCCAGTATCGGCCTGAATCGTGTTTTCGAACTCCGATATGTCGGTACGTGCCGTTTCCTTGTCGCGCACACTGTTTCGGTCAGTAGATGTACGGTCAATTTCGTGAGTTGGCGTGTGATCGCGGATTTGCACATCAACGGAGGTTGGTCGTATATGAATTCGATTCCGGCGGTATATTGCGCCATCAGTACTTTGTAGAGTATACGACCTCTCGGCGACCTCATCGATGATTTTTCCTTGTCTTCATGTGTCCCTTGGAGATTTCTTGTAATACACATTTTGACCCTTTGACAGTTTCGGTAACACACGCGTTCTTTTGTCGTAGCTTCGCTTTACGGTGTCTTTTCGGGATTGTCTGCGTTTCACAGTTTGAGTATCGATACCTTTTACTTTTACCGTTGGTATCATTGATCGAGTGTTTCGACCAAACATCATCTCGGCAGGACGTTTACCAGTGTCTTGCCGCGGGGGATTTCGTTGTTCGAGTAGTGCTTCGCACTGATCAGAATCATCTCGAAGACTCTTAATCATCATATGCTTTATGATTTTAACGGCGGACTCGGCTTTTCCGTTACTCTGAGCGTGATTCGGCGACGACATTTTCTGGTTGATTCCCACTTTCTTTGCGAACTTTGAGGATTCCTGGGAGGAGTATTGTGGACCTCCATCGGACACGATTGTAGTTGGGACCCCCAATCTAGCAAACTGTTTTCTAAGTACGTCGATGACTCTGCTTGACGTTGTCGATGTTAGATAATCAACTTCGATGAAATTTGAAATGTGGTCTACACATACGAGATAATGTCGCCCTTGAACCTCAAATAGGTCCGTGCCTATCTTTTCCCATGGGGTACCTTCAACATGCTGTCGTAGACTTTCTTTTGGATTGCTCGGTTTGAGTTCTTGGCACGCTTCGCACGAATCGGCCATTTGCTTGATATCCTTCGACATGTCCGGCCAAAATATAGTTCCTCGAGCCCTACGCATCATGCTGTCGTATGCTAAATGAGCACAATGAAGTCGTTTTTTCATTTCACCACGCAGCGATCGCGGTATAACTAGGGCTTCACCTTTTACGACGATACCGTCTTGATATCCTAACGTATCACGGAAATCAAAGTACGGTTTTCCAGCTTCCGGTACACTATCTTTATTTCTCGGCCACCCGGTACGAATCAGAGATATCAACTCCTGTATCACACTATCGGTTTCGTTTGCCACTTTGACTTCCTCGAGTCTCGCGTCGGGAATATCATTAAATGAGTGCACATTCATTATCCGGGGTCGGCATTCATGTTCGTTGACAAGTTCCGCTCTATTTAAATAGGATGGCTAGAGCCTCTTTCTCAATTTGCGCCCAATTTCGCTCAGAGGGTGTTAGTGACCTTGACGCGAACTCTACGGGTTGTCCGGATTGCAGCATTACAGCACCAACTCCTTGTTGACTACTGTCCACCTGCAGTGCTACATGTACTTCCTTCGTGGCATTAAAATACGCCAGTACGGGGGCTGTTGTGAGCTTGCGTTTTATCTGATCGAACGCGGTTTTGCACTCCTTTGACCAGTTCCATGCAATATCATTACGCGTTAGAGCACGAATCGGTTCCAAAATCATAGACAGATCGGGAAGGAACTTCGCCATATATTGCACGACGCCACAAAATCGTTTTACAACAGAAACGTCATCCGGTGCAGGCATCTCCAGAATCGCCTGGACTTTCTTGTCGTCTGCTTTCACGCCCTCGCGCGTTGTCGTATGTCCGTGAAACGTGATCTCGCGTAAACCAATCGCTTCCTTGTCCTCATTGCGAACGATATTCCTCTCCTTACATCGTTTGTAGAGGTTACTCAGCTTTTGATCGTTGTCACGCATTGCATCCGATTCTTTTTTTTCACATCCGGCCACTATAATATCATCGGAAATATTGAACACGCCTTCTAGGTCGCCTAACATTTCATTCAACTTTCGGTGGAAAATTTCACTAGAGACTTTCAGTCCAAACGGGAGTCTTGCCCAACGAAAACGACCGAATGGGGTGATCATAGTGGTAAGCTTGCTGGAAACGTCATCGAGCTTCACGTGCCAATACGCATCTTTCACATCCAACTTGCTAAAAAAACTAGCATTGTTCAGTTTCGGCAACACGTCATCCATCGTAGGAAGTTTGCAATGCTCTTGCATGAGTGCAGTATTGAGTGGCTGCGGATCAATACAAATACGAAATTTTCCATTTGCTTTATGCACAACGGCCATTTGACTCACCCATGCGGTGGGCTCAGTGACTGGAACAAGGATATCACGCTCGACTAACGCGTCGATTTCACGTTTTACATCAACCTGTATTGCAATCGGGATTTTACGGCACGGCAATGTTTTTGCTGGAATTTCCCGTTGCTACACCAAGATCTCCGAGTTGCTGTTTGTTCACGGCGGATATGAATTTGTGGTTGTTTATGGTTATCAAGTCCATAGCTTGGATAGTTTTCAGTCCAAGTAAACGCATCAAACCGTTTGGTACCACAACAAATGTAACATTGTGCTGTTCACCCGTTGTCTTGTTTGTCACTTCAAGGTCAACTCCACCTGACGGTTTTTAGTCAGATTTGTTCCACATTTTGAGTCGCATTTCAGTTGCTCTCACTTGATTTTTCCGCACAAACTTTTGATTTATAGTGTTCACATCAGCTGCACTGTCAATTTGGAAATGAACTTCCTGACCGTTGACTATCATACATTATATACGTTGTGTTTCGGCGTAGATTTCACTGCTGACAGCCAGTGATCATTTACATCATTACTGTCGGTATCCTGCGCGTCATTCCCTTCCGCCAAATGTATTTTCCTGCATTTCTTTTTGAAAAGATGCCGTCCTATACAATAGTCAAATGTTGTGCCATATGCAGGGCATTTGTACTTGTTCCGTTCATGTTTACCGCCACAGAAATCACATTCATCGAGTCTTTCGTCCGATTTCTTTGCGTACGAATTACTCGGTTTTCCACGGTTCCAAGTACTTGTTTTACCAGAACCTTGACTTGAATGTGGACTCCGTTTACTGTTATTGTCAGTGCTTGTTTTCCTATACGCCGTGTAAAGTTTGTTTACTTTGCTGCTCAGCGAGGCATTTCCGCCTTCTCGGAGTTCTTTCATGTATATTGCTCGAACGCACGACACAGTTTAATTATACCTTCCAGGGTATTGCTGTCATCTTTCAATAATTGTAGTTGAAGTTTACCTTGACTGATAAAGATACTTATGTCCCTGATCAAACGATCTTGCAATGTGTGCCAAAATTACAGCGATCTGCCCTATTCCTCAGTTCAGTCTTGAAAATATCGAAAGGTTCTTGCCACGTGACACACCAAAATCTGTGCGATTCAATCATCTCATTTGAACGTGTATTACAGTACTGTTCCAATTTTTTGAAATCTTTGACAAGGTCTTTATCGTCAATCTCGGTTTCCCAGGTCAAATGATCAAACAGTTCAACTACATGTGGGCCAGCACAGTGCAAGATAATAGCCACCTGTGTCACCTTTTCCTTCGCCGAGTCGCCACTGGCGGTCATGTAAATTTCAACTTGCCATTTCCATTTTCGGAAATTTTCTGCAATATTACCTTCCGTAATGTTCAGTTTTTCCGGCAAACGAAATGCACCTTCAGCCATTGTTCGAGTTTACCGCTGCCACCATGTAAATTACAAGGTCTAACAGGACCGTAACCAGACTTTCATAGAGTCATAACAAAACACGACGTGTCGGCCATTGAATTTATATCAAAACTGCAAGCACGAGGCTTACGAGGTTACATGTAACATTATAACTTGAATAAGCTAATAATACGAAACGAATTATATCAACAAGATTCGCTATCGTTATTTTTTATTCAAAATGACAGAGATCAACTACCACATTTGTCGAAGGTTATATTCTGACAGCAGTCGAACTTTAATCATTATAAACGTGTTAGTCTATTGATCAATACAATGTCTGATACGCACATTCATTAAATTGGAATGGGAACGGCATTAAACGAACAATTTCATATGGCGGTCATAGGACTATTGTTACAAAAGCTTATTGATATGAGAAATTAAATACATGGAAACGATAAATAGTTTTATAAAATATGAAATATCTATTTTTAATGTTAAATTTAGCACGGACTTCTTTGATATTTAGTTGTATCAGTAAACAATTCCATATTATTTTTTGTGTAAAACGCTGTTCCATAAAATTAAATGTTCAAATGGTAAATTCCTTCATTTGCACAGAAAATATTGGTCCATTGAAAAGTTTGTATTGTTAACAATGTGATTTTTGTAGTAATACTTCTGTACTCGCTGCGACGTTCATATATCTATATGAATGCTTTGGTTTGGTTTAGTATTGTTTAACGTCCTATCAACAACTATGGTTATTTATGGACGGCCTCCCCTTGTGCGAGATGCATGCCAACTGAAGGCAGTTTATATCTTAAATGCACTATTTCTTAAAAAGAAGAAGGAACTACTAACACCATCAGGCAAAGACATATTAAACCTAGCGAAGTTGACTGAAATCAGTAGGTGAAAACGATAGCGTCAATATTAATATTGATGCATCGCTACACTCCTATACATATTTATGTATGTGTTGACTGTTCTGTTATGACTGTATATTAGTACTACATTGTATTTAAGCAATAAACTGCATAGATGTGGCAGACCAACTGGTATAACTACCACATGTGTCACAGACAAACTGAATGGTGCGCGCTATCTGCCACATCTATGCAGTTTATTGCTTATATTTATATTTCCATAATAAGAATTCGCCAAAAAAAATATATGTCTTTTCCAAATTTCAAATTTCCCGTTTATTACTGTCAGGTCAGGTCAGTATCTAGAACGGCACAAAGATAACAGCTGACGTCATGCGCTATTTCCCATACAAAATTGAAAAGACTCCGCAACTTTCGTTAATAATTTATTTGATTTTGATTTATATATATATATCATATTCTCGATTCATAAAAAGTAACAAATGACATTTTGTAAGTAACTAATCAAATGTCGTAGAACATTTTCCGATTTTATTGCGACCTATATCCGGCGCACGCACTCAGCGGAAGCCCGCAGTAATCAGGTCAGAGTTATATTTGCAGTCCGGCATGTTGTTGATGTTGATCGTGCAACCGGAGAAGGTTGAATTGGTGAAAAATCCAGGCGTAAAATTGTTTGTTGATCTCACAGACACTTGAGACAGGCAGCTGGTGTTAGGGATCAAAGCAGAAGATACCGATAAGTTCGGTAGTGACACTGTTAAGTCGCTCGGAGGTGCAAAGACCAACTTCAGTTATAGTCTCATAAGATGAAGCTGCTATTGGCAGTACTTTAGTAGTAATATAGAAGGGCTTTGCCACACCAAATGTAAATATATAGAAATTCACACTGTGCGGATGAACCGAAAGGTCTAAAGCACTAAAAGAGTACTTGTGAGATGTTTTCTCATCTGTCATACCTGGTCGCGTGCTCAAGATATCTTCAATAATGGATAAAACACTGACATTACCGAATAAATAACACATCACATATGAACACACACGTCAAAATACGAACAGTACCGAACATTCATTAGACAAAATACAGACAATAGACATAAGGACTTTCCCCAACAGGACACGTGATCGGAAAATTATATATATATATATATATATATATATATTAATGTACGTTTATCTATCCCGGTGACATCAATGTTGGTATTTTCTGTATTCTATGAGGCACATGCATATTCTATGTTATCTGCTTCGAGATAAATATGTTTAATCAAGCAAATATGTTTCGCATATAACTAAAATCATCTTTCGACCAAGATATTAGGAGGCACGGTAGTAAAGTGGTAGGACGCCGGGCTCATGACCTAAGGGTTGCGGGTTCGCGCCACGGCACGGCAATGTGTTGTATCTTTGAGCAAGATACTTTACTCCGCTTGATCCAGTCTACTCAGCTGTAAATGAGTACGTGGTTGGGCAGTGCTAGAATTGTTGAATGCTAGCTGTTAGCGCCGAAATGGCAGCTCCGGCTGTATGCTCCCGAGGGAGTTGAAAAAGGTATTGGCTGGTTGCAAAGGCCCTATATCAACGGATAATAATTTGTGAACCGCTTTGAGACGACCTACGAACTAGTTTGTGATAAAGCGGTATATAAGAACCTCTAATTATTATTATTATTATTATTATTATTATTATTAATTATTATTATTATTATATTTTGCAAAACATTACATAGATT